AGAACCAGGAGCGGGCATTTTGAGTAGTTTGGAGAACCAGCAAATCCCGCCTCTGACTGGCCCTGCCCCCACCTATTCTCCGCCTCCAGAGTCCCAGCTGATTGGCTGGGTCTTCTTTGGTTGTCCTGCACAGGAGAACAGAGCTGGAAAGCAGGTTAGTGGGGTGGGGAGGGAATGGGGATTTTACAGTGTCCTTCCCCTGCCACACCCACCAAGTCACGGCCACAGAACCTGTAGTAAAAGAAAATGAATTCCACCACTGGCCCAAACTCCTATGGCTGGTCATCATGGCTTGCCACTGTAGACAAAGCACCTTCACTACAGATAGTTCTTGACATGCAGGAGTTTGTTTAGTGACCATTCGCAGTTACAACAGCCCTGAAAGAAGTGATTTATGACCATCTTCCACACTTAATAACGGTTGCAGCCCCTCCCCTCCTTCATGTGATCAAAATTCAGACACTTGGCCCGGACTCGTATTTATGATGGTTGCAGTGTCCTGGATCCCTTCTGACAAAACAAAGTCAACGGGGAAGCCAGATTCACTTAACAACCTAACTTAACAAGTGCAGCGATTTGCTTAACGATTGTGGCAAGATAGGTTGTAAAGCAAGAGTCCTCAAACTTGGCAAGTTTAAGACTTGTGGACTTCAACTCCCAGAATTCCTGAGCTAACATGACTGGAGGAGGAATTCTGGGAGTTGAAGTTCATAAGTCTTAAAGCTGTCAAGTTTGAAGACCCCTGGTGTAAAAGGAGGCAAAACTCGCTTAACAAACGTCTCGCTTAGGAACAGAAATTTTGGGCTTCCGTTGTGGTTGTAAGTCAAGAACCACCTGTAACTGGGAGTTTTTTCCCCCTTTTTTCCAATGATTAATCAGCCAGTTAGAAAAAAGGATGCACATTGGTAATTTGGTTCATGCCAAAAGCAAGGCAGAAGGAAAAATCTGGGCACCGTTTACTGAAATCTGGCAGATGTGAAGAAAAAGAATTGCAGGAGGGATGGAAAAATAGGATGCTGAAGCAACCTACCTAATGCCAAAGACACAGTGGACGTAATTCCAGATAGCCCTCCGAAGCATGGATGTGTCCACCCCACTGTGCATAGCTATGGTGTTGTAGGTCAGATTGTACACCACTTGGAATTTCTCATCCAAGAGTTGTCCCACATCAGGATACAACCGGTTGATAAGCGAGTAACCATGATCTTCCCACGTATAGTCCTGTGGAAGGTAAAATACAGGTTGGATCTACAATCTGCACCAAACCAGGGTTAGTTTTACAATAAAGGTGACGTCACCTTCAAGCCAGTGCCATCCTGGAAGTCACTACAGCTGGGTTCATATTGAAAGCTAAACCATAATGCAAGGGTCTTCAAACTTGGCAAGTTTTAAGACTTGTGGACTTCAACTCCCAGAATTCCTGAGCTAACATGATTGGAGGAGGAATGCTGGGAGTTGAAGTCAACAAGACTTAAAGCTGTCAAGTTTGAAGACCCCTGCCATAAATCAATGCACAAACGATCGTCCTGGGCCATTTATAACCTGGATTGCATCCAGTATTAAATTATGAACTGTAGTTCATACAGCCAAAGGGTGGATTTACAGAACACCTTCATTAAGCCATGCCCCGAATGATTCGCCTTTTGATTAGCATGTGCCGTGGGATTTTTGACATTCTGTTGATGGGGATAAGCATGCATCCAAAGCATGACTGACTCATGGTACCTGGGCTCGGAAAGTGGGAGGTGTCTGCTCTCCTCTCCTGGTAAAATCCTTGTAGCCAAACTCTGGATCCTCCACAAAGCACAGGACTTTGGGCGGCAGGGAGTGTTCAGCAATGTCTGCTGGAGATAGGAACCAAAACAAACACACGTAAACCATGATGTGATGCGATCAAAAGCACTTAGCATTAGCAATAGCCCTTTAAGACTTATATACCATGGGCGAATAGGCGGCAATAAAAATTAAATAAATAAATAAAATAAATACTGCTTCATAGTACTTTACAGCCCTCTCTAAGTGGTTTACAGCAAGGGTCTCTAACCCCCCAGGCCATGAAACCGGGCCACACAAACAAGGAAAGCCCTATCCATGGGATGCAGGCAGCACAAAAGACTATGCCCCCACGGAAAAACCCCTCTCCATGGAAGCAATCCCTGGTTGGGGGATGCTAGTTTACAGAGTCAGCATAGGTAAAGGTAAAGGTTCCCCTCGCACATAAGTGCTAGTTGTTTCCATCTCTAGGGGGTGCTGCTTATCTCCGTTACAAAGCCGAAGAGCCAGCGCTGTCCAAAGACGTCTCCGTGGTCAAGTGGCCGGCATGACTAAACGCCGAAGGCGCACGGAACGCTGTTCCCTTCCCACCAAAGGGGTCCCTATTTTTCTATTTACAGTTTTTACGTGCTTTCGAACTGCTAGGTTGGCAGAAGCTAGGACAAATAACGGGAGCTCACTCCGTTACGCAGCGCTAGGGATTTGAACCGCCGAACTGCCAACCTTTCTGATCGACAAGCTCAGCGTCTTAGCCACTGAGCCACTGCGTCCCTGACAGAGTCAGCCTATTGCCCACAACAACCTGGGTCCTCATTTTACCGACCTCGGAAAGATGGAAGGCAGAGTCAACCTTGAGCCGATCAGGATTGAACTGCTGGCAGTGGGCAGAATTAGCCTGCAATACTGCACTCTAACTGCTGCGCCACCACGGTTCATACATCAAAAGGTCTGGTTGGATTTTTGATGGGTTGGATGAAGCTTGCAGACTGAAAGATTCCCAATCTCCAAGCCCTTCTCCACCAGGTTGTTTGACTCAACGTCTGAATGGGTGGAAGTCTCACTTCCCTTCAGATGTGGCCCTGCCTCACCTGAGGGAGTCACAAGTAGGCTCTCTCTCTTTTCCATCTCAAAATGAGTCGCCATCTCTTCCTGGGTGACACCTTCCTCCTCCAGCTGGCACTCCTGCAGCAGTTTCATCCTCTCCATCAGCATCTCCACATCCTCCATGGCATCATTGCTCTGAGAAAAAGTGAGACGAGGGAGGATCATTTCAGGCAGGAATCCACCAGCCTTACTTCACAATTCTGCAGCGCTGCATTGCGTTACTGTGCTTTACCTTTGCTATCTGTTGAACTCTTCTAACCACTGCTGAAACCCTGGTGGGGATGAGTAGCTGGGAACCAAGCCAACCCTACTAAGACCACACCTGGAATACCGCAACTGATTTTGAATCGCCATACTACAAAAAAAAATGTTGGGACTTTGGAAAAAGTTCAGAGAAGAGCAACTAAGATGATCAAAGGCCTGTAGACTAGAACATAGGAAGAACGGCTGCAGGGTTTGGGTCTGGCTAGTCTAAAGAAAAGGAGAATTAGGGGTGACATGATAGCAGTATTCCAGGATTTGAGGGGCTGACACAAAGAAGAGGGGGTCAAATTAGTCTCCAAAGCACCAGAGGGAAAGACAAGAAACAATGGATGGAGACTAATCAGAGAGAAGTAACCTGAAATTAAGGAGAAACTTCCTAACAGTGAAGACAATTAGCCAGTGGAACTGCTTGACACCAGAAGTTGTGGGTGCTCCATCACTGGATGTTTTTAAAAAGACTCTAGACAGTCACTGCAGTTGTTAAGTGAACCATGTGATCATTAAATTGTCTTTGCTTGCCAGAAGCGGGTTGTGAAGATTACAAACAACAATCGTAAGGTCCACCTAAACGACCCTGGTATGCTTGCAACCATCAAAAAATACATGCCAGTTACCAAGCCCTCGAAGTGTGATCACATGACCGTGGGAGATGCTGCAATGGGTTGTAAGTCTGAGGACAGGTCTTAAGTCACTGTTTTCCAGTGCTGTTGTAACTTAGAACGGTTGCTAAATGAATGGATGTAAGTCAAGGATTATCTGTGTTGTCTAACTTCCCAGGCAAAAAGTCCAGAGATTCTCAGTCATCCAGATCGTGGTTGTCCCAAAGGTAATTTTTTCAGGAGGCGACTGGACTTTCTGGTTTTTCTTTGAAGACGTTTCACTTCCCATCCAAGAAGCTTCTTCAATTCTACTGAAGAGAGCTGAAGAAGCTTCTTGGATGAGAAGCAAAACTTCTTCAAAGAAAAACCAGAAAGTCCAGTCGCTTCGTTGGGATTCTCAGGCAAAGGTATTGCAACTGCCTACCTCGCAAGTTGTTGTGGCTGGCCCCTGTGCCTACCGGAGCCCACCCACTTTGGGGCCAGTTTTTTTCCAACTTTAAGAGCTCCCAAAATGCTTTAAAAAAATAATAATAACAAGGATCCACCTCCCCATAATGGGCTTACACTGGAACTGTTTGTCCCATCTTCCGAGCTAGGGCTGCTGTCGCAGCTGCGTGGCGAAGGTGGTCGGAAGACATGCCCAGCTTCCTGGTCAAGCTCCGGGTTGATGCCGCAGCCGAACACGAAGGAGGCGAGCGAGTGGTAGTGTGTCAGCAGGACCAAAGCCTGGATGAGTTCGGCTAGAGACCAGCTGTTTTCCCCAGTTTTTAGCAGGGCCTGGAAGAAACAATACCAAAAATATCTCAGCTCTCTGCCTCAAGTTGATATATTCTCCAAAGCAGCTGAAGGCAGGACAAGAAGCAACGGGTGGAAATGAATCAAGGAGAGAAGCAACTTAGAACTAAGGAGAAATTTCCTGATAGTTAGAATAATAAATCAGTGGAACGACTTGCCTCCAGAAGTTGAGGGTGCTCCAACATTGGAGGTTTTCAAGAAGAGATTGGACAGCCATTTGTCTGAAATGGTTTCCTGCCTGAGCAGGGGGGGTTGGACTACAACATCTCCATGGTCCCTTTTAACTCAGTTATTCTGTATTTAAGGAGAAGACGATAGCTTTCCTCTAAAGGAGGAGTGTCCAACCGTGGCAACTTTAAGGCTTGTGGACTTCAACTCTCATAATTCCCCAGACAACATAGTACCCCAAAATCATTATTTATCTCATTAGGGAAGATACAAAGCCATCTACAAAAGTAAAATGGACCAAGGAAATTCCCCCAAAGGGTTTGATTCAACCAGAATCGAAGGCACACCAAGTATTGAGATGTCTCTTTCCTTGTGCAATGCTATAATTTAGTTTAGTTGGTTTTGTCTTAGTAGGTCACATGAACCCAGGCATTATGGACTGTAAATCATAGTTTATGGCTTTGTGTGGAAAGAACCAAGCCGCTGTGCGTGCCGGACAAACTGGTTTTACAAAAGGCGAGAGGAAAATGAAATGTTTGCCTTCTTTCAACTGAAGGAAACAAAAATAGTTCCAAGATGGTTTGATCCAACTCACTTTCCACCAAGTTCGGCACTCACCTCAATGTGCTCCTTGGTGATCAACCAAGGCCGGTGAGCCAGGATCTTGTTGATTTCATTCAGGTTCCTGAGTTTCTGCGGGGCATACTGCAAACCTCGCAGCCAGGCTGGGTCCCCTCCTACCTGGAGAAACTCCCCCATGTGGAAGCCAACCAGGTAGGAACAGTGATGCCTGGCAGCTGCCTGAAATAAAAGGAAAATCTTGTAAAGGAACTCTCAAGGGCAAACTGCAAGGATCTAATGCAGAGGTACAAGGTATGCCCAAGTCCAGGACCAGCACAGTATCAGAGGCTGATAAAGGCCTGTTACTTTTCACATTCCCATGTGGGCAAGATGTAATTTCCAGAAGGAGAGAGAGATGTCTAGGAATCCACTTTATATCAAGACTGACTTTGATCCATCCAGGGGGCTGCTACCTACAGCAACAGCAGGGAATCAAAATGATGGTCTATTTTTTAAGTTCTAATTCTAATTTTAGTCCTAGCAATGTTTCTCCACCTTGGCAACTTGGATGGGTGGACTTCAGTTCCGAGAATTCTCCATCCAGCATGGCACTTATTGTAGCAAAAGAGCAGACAGAGCTAGGTCGGCTGAGTTAAGCGAGTCATCAGTCTAGAATCATTACGTTGCCACAAATGATGTAAGTCCAAGCCCTCCTGAATTCCACTGACCCTTATCTGGTGCCAATGTAGCACTGAACCTTACTTGACTAGATCTATAGCATTGAGCAATAACTGCAATTTAAAAGTATGGTCCTGATTCTTCACACCTGATATTCATGGAGGTGAAACAAGGACAGCAGTTCTATTCACAATAACCACCCAGTAAAGGAGAGTTGGGCTGAGACTATCATTTGCCCAGTTTCCCATGGAGCTGCATGTCTCTGCCTGCTGGGGCTTTGAATCATGGTCCCTGCGGTGCTCGCCCACTCACCATGATAGCGATGTAGTGGCGCTTGTGATACGGCAGTGGCCCATCCATCCTCAACAAGAGGTACTGAGTCTTCCAGAAGCTCGTCAGGTATTCTGGATGTAGTCCCATCACCATGGTAATGTTATCCACTTTGCCCGTTGAAACAAAGGCTTCTATGAAGAGCCGTCGCTGGGCGCTTTCCACTCCTTCTTGTAGGATCTACAATAAGGAGAAAGCAAGTTTGTAAAAAAAAAAAAAAAGAGGGGGGGCTGCAAGGTAGAACATCATCATAATCTCTACTACTGGAGGAGGAGGAGAGGAAAATAGTTGGCTTGCCCAAAAATCCCCTGGGATGAATTTTGCTAGCTCAAATGGGGGAAAGGCAGAAAACAATGAGGGACAGTTTGGTGTAGTGATTAAGGCACTATATGTACAATCCGGGAGATTATGAGTTCTAGTCCTGCCTTAGGCACAAAACTAGCTGGGCAACAAATCTCACACACTCGTCCCTCCTGAAATCTTGTCAAGAAAACTTGTCCAATGTAGGGACTTGCCCGTTATTATAAACCAGCTTCCAAAGACTAGGTACAACAGAGATTTGCCCGATCGGTTAATATATAATATTGATTACTATTAATCTTCTCATAAGTCCTTATCACCCATTCCCTCCCACTTGTGACTGTATGACTGTAACTTTGTTGCTTGCATCCTTACGATTTATACTGACTGTTTCCTAGTATGATTTGATTGCTATGACTATTATTAAGTGTTGCACCTAATGATTCTTGACTTGACAAATGTTTTTATGTATGCTGAGAGCATTTGCACCAAGACAAATTCCTTGTGTGTCCAATCACACTTGGCCAATAAAGAATTCTATTTCTAATTCTAATATATTTAATAAAGTAAATCAATTCACCATAAATATATTCAATTTAGGCTGAATGCAAGGCAAAGCAGGCTGCAGGGATTTCTCTCGGATCATTAGCCATTTTCCTTATTCCTAATTATCTAACAATAGCAATCAAACTGAAGTTGAAGAAATAAAACATTAGCGGAGAAGGGTGGGGTGGGGAGAAAAAACAGGAGAAGAAGGTTTTTATTTGGAAAGATCTGCAAACTGAATTTGATCTATCTGCAGCCCTAGCTTTCCATAGCCTCTCAGCTATTTACAAAAAAAAACACAAAAAAACGGGATGCCAGTCAACAGTTCCAAGATTAGCCTGACTCTGAAATTGTTCTTCCTTCTTCCTGCTTTGAAAAACAAGCTCTCTATCCAGTCCTTTTCACGCATGAATGGCCAGTCAAGAGCTGCCCAGAGCCCCTTTGAAGTCATGACTAAAAAGCTGTCGTTGTTTATTGTAAAAGAAAAAAAAAA